TTCTGAATTTCTCGCCGTATTTTTTGAACTGCTAGATTTTACTGCAAATTACGCAGAGAGAGAATTCACGAAATTTCGGAAGCAAGCAACTCAAATCATGAAATATTACCATTGCGCAAATAGCAAACGAACAGAATTATTCTTTAAACAATACTGAATTGCTGACCAAAATTTTCTTGTTATTCAAACTACTCTAATTACGTTTCCCTGTGGTTTCTTTGCATGGGTCGGCGTTTATTTTGTATTCATTCGCTTTAAAGACTTGAAATCGCTGTAGTTGAAAGAGAAATTATCTCTAAATTTGACCTGACTTGTTGTAATATTTAGTGAACAGAAAATTTCCGGCAATATTTGTTTTACCTCCGTAGTAAACATTTTTGCTAAGAACGAGACAAAATATGTAATTTCACTTTTTATTTTGAGAAACTTATTTTCTTTTCTTTGATTGTTGTAATTACTACTTAGATATTTTTCAGACTTAGTAATAATTGTCAACTGTTTTAAATTATTACTTTGGTATATAGATACAGTGAAATTTTACGACTCGTAAAATTACTCTGTATCTATCGACCTTAGTAGTTAGTTAAACAGTTTTCATACTTGTAAATATCTTCTCAATAAAGATCACAACTTGTAAATCAGTTAAAACTTTATTGAACTGAAATAAAGAAACAATATTGTAATCAACAAATGAGTCTTGTGTCACTTAATAAAAAAAATGCGCGCTTTTAATGGGACCTGGAAACTAGTCGAAATGTAGGCTATCTCTTTTATTATTTTTTGACTATGTAGGGTTGCCGACGCGGAAAAACGTTCTGCACTTTTAATCAGGGTCTAGTAACAAGTCAAAATAAAGGCTGACTTTTGATGGGCCAAATCTGACTGCAAACTGCAGAGATTTTTCCCGCCAAAAGACTTAGTTTATTTTTGACAAATTTCTAGACTCCATTTTAAAGCGCAGACTTTTTCCCGCCAAAAGACTTAGTTTTTTTTTTGGAAAAATTTCCAGGCACCGTTTAAAAGCGCGCTCTATTTTCCCGCCAAAAGACTTAGTTTATTTTTGAAAATTTTTTTAGGTAAAAGGCTTTTGCTGACGGAACTATCAACTTCACGATGAGAACTTGCAGCAGCTTTATTATACAGAATCGGTCTAAAATGCAGTTTAATGGCGTGTTAGACTTCCTTCACTCCTGCAAGAGAAAGATAAAAATTAGAAATATAAAAATAAATAAAGGCAATGGCAAATCGCGTAATATCGTGTCCAATTTCGATAACTGAGGAAAACAAACATTAACACTTTATACCAAGGCGTGCACATCTTACCTTAAGCACAAGCATACGACACAAACAGCTCCGTAACTTTTTTTAGAAACAAAAATTACGCTGTAAAGTATTGGAAATTCGGTTGTGAAGGCGAGGCGTAACTTCTTTCTATTAGTCCTTGTGTTATTATGCTCGCGGATTTTTTTAAATCTCTTGGAAATTGCAAGCCATTTATGCCGAGAAATAAAACGTTTATTACTATACAAATAACATGACAGCTTTATGATCCTTTATCATTGGGGTAGCAAAATTACTTCACGCGAAACCTGAAAGCCCTGTTTTTCAAACTTTCTTAAAAATTTAAATGTAACCTGGCTAAAACTGATGAAAGGTATCTGGGTAAAACATACACTTCTAACAATAGGTGCTTTATCTGTAAATGTAAATTATGAGGAAATAAAGTATATTGTTGTCTGCAAATCCCAAATTCGTTCTGTTATGTTAATTAGCTTACATTATGTGCGAGGAAAAATATTGAAAATTCTGTCCGTGTTTTTGACCACAAGGCATCACTTCTTATTTTGTTTATCGAGACGAAAACCCCACATCTCAAAAATATATTTTCTTTAAGCCTTAAAACAAGTTGATTAAAATCTGCAGTAGCAGCCACTTAAAAATGAAATGTTTGAACAGGAATTAAAAATGAAAAACTTATATGCCCACTTGCATGATATAATAGCATATTGACGTTTGAAGAATACTGATGCTGACATACTAAACAATTAAGTTTCAACAGGGTGTCTGACTTACAGAAAAACACTAACATGAAAAAGAGTTGAGATCGACTTTTCTAGTTAGCACCACTCTCAGAGAAGATCTGAACGAATCAGTTTCAAAGAAAAAGGTTGCTTTTTCTTTATTCTCATTTCTATCTATTTCACTTAATCACAGCCGCAATTTGGGCCGACTTACATTGCCAATTTTGCACTGAACGATGCTCGACTTTAAAATTACCTCTTGATAGTGTGAATACCAGCGATCATATGAAAATCTATCATTACGCCTTGACAAACTTTTTATGTTAAACAGTGCCATGCCATGTTAAGTACTGGAGTAAAAGCACATCACAGAGCTTAATGTCAAGATTTGTTCACATTGTTTCCTCAGTTGTGTTAGCTTCGATTAAATTCTGTTTTCAAAATTTTCCAGGTATAAATTAATGCAACTTCTTTAACCCCACCAGTATCAGTAGTTCGTCTTGTGTGATCGTCTGGTAGTTCTGAAACGAACTGCATGATGTTGACAGTTGACGTTTCGACAGTCTCAGCAGAAGTTAGTTATCTTCAGAGCCAAGTGAAAAGTGTGCTCAATATACAAAGTAGCTGGCTTAATTTGCAAGCAATATTTCCTGCGATTTTTTTGAATAATTTCAAAAATGACCGAAAATCAAGGGGACATTCTTGCCCGAAACCTTTCGTTATTACTTTGTGTGAATCATGTTTGTGGTCGACTTAAAAATTTTCTCAAATTCCAGTCACGATTTGAACAGTTGAGCCCAGGTTTTCTTTTCGTTACGTCTTAAAAATTGATTGAAACTGAGATACCGTTAAATGCCATGTAACAGCTCGTATAATACTTCATGACGTAGTAAAGTTGCTTGTGAAACTTGTGCGATGTTCTCTCGTCATTGGTTATCCTAATGAAGGAAAAAAAAAGACAGAAGATAAGCCAGATGGCCTAAAGACAAGTACTAGAGTTAAATTGTGGCTGCAATAAACAAAGCATTTTAAAAACAAACAGCACACTACAGCCGATACACATATAAGAACGGATGCTCACCTCTGATTTGGAACCAGTGCGGGTGGCACGGGCAAACGAGTTATGATTTGCAGTCCTCAGTCCTTTTGTTTGCTCACACAAAGTAAACGGCCTAAAACGAAGACCAAAAGAGTTGAAACTGCAGCAACTCATGATCAAGATAATTTGGCAGTCCTTAACGAAAGTTACTATTGAATGAAATCGGTGAAATTACAAGCTTCAGTTAAAATACTTAACTCCCCCTCTAAGGGAAAAAGTAACGAACAACCACAACAGCAAGGAAAACAACCAACGCAGAAACAAAATGCAACAAAACAAAGAAAACTTACTGATGTGCTAATTTATTATTCCCAATATTTAACAAACACTTTATGTTTAATTAGGAGATTTCATGATAAAAGAAACATCAGTCGCAGGATACCTGCACTTTAAAAGCAGTCAATCTGTTTTTCTTGACCAGTTGATGAAAGAGTTTTCAGATTCCAAGAAGTAAATCGGTTTGTGATTCAAAGAAATTTTCAGTTAGTGAGTGAGTGAAAGAGCAATATTCACAGCTAAAATTGTACATATATTGACTGACTTGAATGGTGTAAACTGTGCGCGTACTGTTGCAACTGGCAAAAAGTTGAAAAACTAAGTAGTGTGTGATTTTACAGTGCTTTCTACAGTTCTACCAACCTGGCAAACTTCAAACGAAGACGCACCAGCCGCACTGAAACCGTACAAGCTCGACTAAACCTCGGCACGTGTACCTTGTCATCATGTCAAATATATCGTTGTTTCGGTCGAATAATCGTTACCCGGCCACGTAACATGTCTGTCTCTTTCCACTAACATCATAACTGTCGGTTTTACAAGGTTAGGTTAGCAAACGTTTCACTCTTTTTGTAGAAACGTGGATGGAACAGGAACCATCGAAGACGATGGCGGATAACTGAACATGAGATGAATAATTATCAGCATCAGCACGTGCATTTTGAATATTTGCAATGGAAATTATTGACCGAGAGTGATTTCGCACCAGAAGAAATTTGGTTGGTAGCGATAACGACCAGAAACGATTTTAGTGAGATGATGGCAGCACAAAAAGACCAATGTTATATGAAATCAAATTAAGATGGATCAGGCAATTTAGAAGAGAGAGTCCTGCGCGTTCGAATCGTGGGGTTCACGCAAGAGAAACAGACTGGATATTGTGTGAGGAGTAGGGAGGGCTTTTTTAATGTATTTTTTGGCAGCTAAAGTGGCCTGCGTAGTAGGCGTATAAAGGGGATGGGGTGGAGGAGGAGAAGAGATTTCGAGGACCCCACCCTTTATTTTTTTTTCCCCGAATTCTCTTCCTTCTCCCCCACTCCCCTCCCCTTTATACGCCTGCTACGCAGGCTAGCTAAAGCTGATGTAGCTTCCTCTCTAAATATAATTTATTTAGTTTATTTATTATTTATGTTGGGCGCAAATTTTGAGTCAACTGCCACGGTCTTTACATCATCAAAACACTTTGTAATTTGAATTGAGAGAAACATTGGGACGAGATATTCCAGTTCTTAATGGCCAATCAGAACACACGCAGAAACCCCTCCCCCAGGTTTCCCTCCAGCTCACTCAAACACTGATATGACTGTTAGAGAAGTGACCGATGACATGACTTCATTGTACGATACTCTCTCGTCCTCTACGCTGTTTTTAGCAGGAAATTAAACTAACAAGAGACGCATTCACAGCTAGAGTGTGTACTGGTAGCTTTTGAAATTGCATGACTTGTCTGAAATTATTACACAGTTTCCTGCATGGTGGACTATGTTTTGAAACCATTTAGTTTTCTTCTAATCTTTACAGGTATTATCACATATCACTAATTACTTTTTCACTTCCATTGTACTGGCCTTGGAGAACAGCAAAATGAATTCTTAGCAGGAAGAACAGAACTTTGAGAAGACGTGCGTTATTATACGATGGATTTGACAAGGCTGAGAGCTAGGGTACAGGATATGAGGATATCAAAAAGCCGTCAACTGGGGATATTTTTGGTCTACTACTGGATGAAAGCAAATAGGGCAATTACTATGAAAAATATTGATATTTAAACTTTAAAATTGATAACGTTTTTCTTGATGGTAGCTTCAGGGCTCATAAATAATATAACATCTCAGACTGGATCAATTTTGAAAATCAGGTCGTTTCGCAACTCGGCTCGATATATCTGGAAAACTTCCTTCACACCAAATCCAATACTGTCACGAAAAGCAAAAATGAATATCAAACAAAAAGCTTCATTAAAGAAACAAAGAATGACAACTGACATCTCCAACAAAACCTCGAGCAAATGGACAAAGTTATATTTAACTTTTCTGTTCATAAGGGATTACCAGAATATCACAGTAAATTGAAAAAATACCATATAAAAACATGTTGAACTGTTTTGCTCACGATAAGCTTACGTGGTCCTACATAAGCTTCTTCTCTCTTCCCTTAATAAGAGGAAAACAAACAAAATCAACAGCAAGAATACCGAATGACAAGCAGGGGAAAATGCAAGACAAGGAACGTGTGGAGAGTGTTATGTATATTTTATTAGGAGCGCGAGCTTGGTGGCTTTTTTGAAGATATTAATAGTTACAGTCGTTTCCCTCGTTTCGAACACATTGAACCTCGCTTGCGAAGCGCGAATGTGCCTCCGATGCAGAATTTCGACGCTCGCTGAAGAGATTTCTTTTGAAGACCACCTGCAGAAACAAAAACAAAACAAAACAAAAAAAAAACTGAGGAGCAAACACTTATGCAAGTCGGAATGGTTAATTCATTGGCAGACACTTATGTCTACCTTATTGACAAACATTGTCTCAAAGTTAAATTTAGGTACTCATTCTTGGAAGGCTATCATGCATTCATCGACTCTGTGGGCATGTTAGAGCAGAAGGAAGATGCAAATTATGATGCGAGTTGTGTAAACGTCGCTTTTGCTAAGTTTCCACCCTTAACGTGGACAAAACCCCTGGGTTGTACAATGAAACTTCCTGCCCAAACCGGCTCTTGTCGTTTGAAACATACATGTACATAGAAAAAGGACGTTACTTTTGAAACATTGCAAGTCAAACTTTTAAACAGTTTTTGAACAGACGGGATCCTCAACGGTTTAAGGTAAGAACTGAAGTCTTTAAACATATCTCGTCGGCGTCTGAAGACACCTGGCGCAAATCTGGGGTATATTCGCTGAGGTAACACAATTTGTCTTCATACGTGAAACCATTATAAGCAAAAACATACGGATATAAATGGAACTAACGCTATATTCGGTACTTTCGCACTGTATTTTCCAGAATGTGATAAAAATTCAATGAAAATGCTACAACTAGACGAAATGTCATGCGGCTGTTAAAAATAGAAAGATGTCCCTACTTGACTTATTCCGAAGGTGATTCATTCAAGGAAATATTTAGACATGGTGTCTCAAACTGCACGAGAACGAATTTCGAAAACAGAAAAGACTGAAATACAGTTTTTGCAATAAATGTTCTCTTGAAAGGAAACACGAATGAGAGGATGATTTCAGGAAATTAAATATGCCATAACAATCAAAATTCCACATATTGCAACCATGAATTTAATTAATAGATTAAATTCTTCTTTGGTTAGAGCACGTCTGATGACGTCATATCTCAAGTTAATTCCCCACCATACGCAACGTTTTGGACTTCCTTGCACTTAATCGCAAAGATGAGACCTGCCATGATTATAGTTTAGTTTGTTCGAGATCTTAACACGCTCCTGGACGCAAGGTTGACTTTTTACCATCCGTTGACTGTGCCGTGAGACATTGAGGTTATTACAAGGTGCGCCAAAGTTCTTAGTTACCTTATCGGTTGTTCTTGTATTTTTCTGGAGTTAGGGCCATTTGCGTTTTTCTGGGATACAAAATATATTTCGACTATTCTGCTAATTGGAGAAGAATGCCGGATCAAAGTACCGCGAAAAATTTAACAACTAAATTATGGGCTGATGAGGTGATAGTTGATGAGGCCGAAGACCGAATGAACTATCACCTCATAGAAATAGAGAGCGAATGATTTGATTGTCTTAAATGATCTACATTTATCTTTTTTTCAAATAACGGTTTTCAAGTGTTTTTTAACTCGACTATACATCTCGCGCGAGATGTGTCAATTTCTAATTACAAAAAGCTTGCACTGAACTGTTCGCGCGCTCATCAGTAGTTTATTGAAAACTTTATAGGTTTTAAAGTCGCATAACGATGAACATAATTCTTGGAAATTGAATTATCCAGTAATATTTCTAAATCTTCTTCGAAACATCGGAGAAACGAAAAAGTTGCCATTATGTAGACGACCTCTAGCAACGGCACAATGATGCTTGATAGCGTACGACATCTCAGCCAATCAGATGGCAGTATTTGCTTTAGTTTAGAATTACCCCCAAAACGAATGTTTACGCTCAATATTGCAATTGTTCTTCTTTAAATGAACACTTACCTCCATCACTTATGTTCTGGATTGTTCCAAACAAAAGCCTCCAGCTTGCGGATGTGTTAGAAACGAACTTATCAAGATAATAAAACAAAGTGACAGTAAAATTAGTTTCTTTCCCTTAAGAGATAATTTTACCTTCAAAATCGGATGATAAATCTCCTTTACTGGTGTGACTAGGTTACAAAATTAGAACTTCCTCTTTCTATCTGTCAAATTTAGTACGCAGCTGTTAAAGATGGTAATATATGTCGCCAGTATGTTAGCTATAACAAGTAACCACAAGATGTATATATTCTTTTCATTTTTTCATTAAACCACAAATTAAGAATTTGCAATTTTGTTCTTTTAAACGTGAGTTTTGGTCTCGTGAGGCTACATTTCTCCTAAATAGCCGCCAATAGTTGCATTTAGTTCGTTTATAATATTACCAGATACCACCAAATATTCAAATAACCGGAATAAAAAAAGTTACAGAGCAAAAAAAACGAAAACAGAAAAAACCGTTTTGGGAATGAAATTTGATTTTGTCACCACAATGTTAAGAAATTTAAAACTGCCATTCTGTTGAAATTTCAGCTGAACGTGGTATTCTTTATTTCTTCTTTTTGGATGATTAAGACACAAAGGATAGAGGATAGAGTCTTGACAGTCCGACACTGCATATATCGGCTTTTGATTCACGTGGTAAATAATTATCTCCAGATTAACAGCCAGGTGAAGGCCAAATTAGTGTTTTAAAAGAGAAGGTTCGAGCATTTTAACGAAATTAGCCAATTGCAGTACATTGACCCTGGATCTTAAGAATCGCCTCCTTACCCAACACGACTCTAACTGTTGTTCTTCNCATTTCTATCTATTTCACTTAATCACAGCCGCAATTTGGGCCGACTTACATTGCCAATTTTGCACTGAACGATGCTCGACTTTAAAATTACCTCTTGATAGTGTGAATACCAGCGATCATATGAAAATCTATCATTACGCCTTGACAAACTTTTTATGTTAAACAGTGCCATGCCATGTTAAGTACTGGAGTAAAAGCACATCACAGAGCTTAATGTCAAGATTTGTTCACATTGTTTCCTCAGTTGTGTTAGCTTCGATTAAATTCTGTTTTCAAAATTTTCCAGGTATAAATTAATGCAACTTCTTTAACCCCACCAGTATCAGTAGTTCGTCTTGTGTGATCGTCTGGTAGTTCTGAAACGAACTGCATGATGTTGACAGTTGACGTTTCGACAGTCTCAGCAGAAGTTAGTTATCTTCAGAGCCAAGTGAAAAGTGTGCTCAATATACAAAGTAGCTGGCTTAATTTGCAAGCAATATTTCCTGCGATTTTTTTGAATAATTTCAAAAATGACCGAAAATCAAGGGGACATTCTTGCCCGAAACCTTTCGTTATTACTTTGTGTGAATCATGTTTGTGGTCGACTTAAAAATTTTCTCAAATTCCAGTCACGATTTGAACAGTTGAGCCCAGGTTTTCTTTTCGTTACGTCTTAAAAATTGATTGAAACTGAGATACCGTTAAATGCCATGTAACAGCTCGTATAATACTTCATGACGTAGTAAAGTTGCTTGTGAAACTTGTGCGATGTTCTCTCGTCATTGGTTATCCTAATGAAGGAAAAAAAAAGACAGAAGATAAGCCAGATGGCCTAAAGACAAGTACTAGAGTTAAATTGTGGCTGCAATAAACAAAGCATTTTAAAAACAAACAGCACACTACAGCCGATACACATATAAGAACGGATGCTCACCTCTGATTTGGAACCAGTGCGGGTGGCACGGGCAAACGAGTTATGATTTGCAGTCCTCAGTCCTTTTGTTTGCTCACACAAAGTAAACGGCCTAAAACGAAGACCAAAAGAGTTGAAACTGCAGCAACTCATGATCAAGATAATTTGGCAGTCCTTAACGAAAGTTACTATTGAATGAAATCGGTGAAATTACAAGCTTCAGTTAAAATACTTAACTCCCCCTCTAAGGGAAAAAGTAACGAACAACCACAACAGCAAGGAAAACAACCAACGCAGAAACAAAATGCAACAAAACAAAGAAAACTTACTGATGTGCTAATTTATTATTCCCAATATTTAACAAACACTTTATGTTTAATTAGGAGATTTCATGATAAAAGAAACATCAGTCGCAGGATACCTGCACTTTAAAAGCAGTCAATCTGTTTTTCTTGACCAGTTGATGAAAGAGTTTTCAGATTCCAAGAAGTAAATCGGTTTGTGATTCAAAGAAATTTTCAGTTAGTGAGTGAGTGAAAGAGCAATATTCACAGCTAAAATTGTACATATATTGACTGACTTGAATGGTGTAAACTGTGCGCGTACTGTTGCAACTGGCAAAAAGTTGAAAAACTAAGTAGTGTGTGATTTTACAGTGCTTTCTACAGTTCTACCAACCTGGCAAACTTCAAACGAAGACGCACCAGCCGCACTGAAACCGTACAAGCTCGACTAAACCTCGGCACGTGTACCTTGTCATCATGTCAAATATATCGTTGTTTCGGTCGAATAATCGTTACCCGGCCACGTAACATGTCTGTCTCTTTCCACTAACATCATAACTGTCGGTTTTACAAGGTTAGGTTAGCAAACGTTTCACTCTTTTTGTAGAAACGTGGATGGAACAGGAACCATCGAAGACGATGGCGGATAACTGAACATGAGATGAATAATTATCAGCATCAGCACGTGCATTTTGAATATTTGCAATGGAAATTATTGACCGAGAGTGATTTCGCACCAGAAGAAATTTGGTTGGTAGCGATAACGACCAGAAACGATTTTAGTGAGATGATGGCAGCACAAAAAGACCAATGTTATATGAAATCAAATTAAGATGGATCAGGCAATTTAGAAGAGAGAGTCCTGCGCGTTCGAATCGTGGGGTTCACGCAAGAGAAACAGACTGGATATTGTGTGAGGAGTAGGGAGGGCTTTTTTAATGTATTTTTTGGCAGCTAAAGTGGCCTGCGTAGTAGGCGTATAAAGGGGATGGGGTGGAGGAGGAGAAGAGATTTCGAGGACCCCACCCTTTATTTTTTTTTCCCCGAATTCTCTTCCTTCTCCCCCACTCCCCTCCCCTTTATACGCCTGCTACGCAGGCTAGCTAAAGCTGATGTAGCTTCCTCTCTAAATATAATTTATTTAGTTTATTTATTATTTATGTTGGGCGCAAATTTTGAGTCAACTGCCACGGTCTTTACATCATCAAAACACTTTGTAATTTGAATTGAGAGAAACATTGGGACGAGATATTCCAGTTCTTAATGGCCAATCAGAACACACGCAGAAACCCCTCCCCCAGGTTTCCCTCCAGCTCACTCAAACACTGATATGACTGTTAGAGAAGTGACCGATGACATGACTTCATTGTACGATACTCTCTCGTCCTCTACGCTGTTTTTAGCAGGAAATTAAACTAACAAGAGACGCATTCACAGCTATAGTGTGTACTGGTAGCTTTTGAAATTGCATGACTTGTCTGAAATTATTACACAGTTTCCTGCATGGTGGACTATGTTTTGAAACCATTTAGTTTTCTTCTAATCTTTACAGGTATTATCACATATCACTAATTACTTTTTCACTTCCATTGTACTGGCCTTGGAGAACAGCAAAATGAATTCTTAGCAGGAAGAACAGAACTTTGAGAAGACGTGCGTTATTATACGATGGATTTGACAAGGCTGAGAGCTAGGGTACAGGATATGAGGATATCAAAAAGCCGTCAACTGGGGATATTTTTGGTCTACTACTGGATGAAAGCAAATAGGGCAATTACTATGAAAAATATTGATATTTAAACTTTAAAATTGATAACGTTTTTCTTGATGGTAGCTTCAGGGCTCATAAATAATATAACATCTCAGACTGGATCAATTTTGAAAACCAGGTCGTTTCGCAACTCGGCTCGATATATCTGGAAAACTTCCTTCACACCAAATCCAATACTGTCACGAAAAGCAAAAATGAATATCAAACAAAAAGCTTCATTAAAGAAACAAAGAATGACAACTGACATCTCCAACAAAACCTCGAGCAAATGGACAAAGTTATATTTAACTTTTCTGTTCATAAGGGATTACCAGAATATCACAGTAAATTGAAAAAATACCATATAAAAACATGTTGAACTGTTTTGCTCACGATAAGCTTACGTGGTCCTACATAAGCTTCTTCTCTCTTCCCTTAATAAGAGGAAAACAAACAAAATCAACAGCAAGAATACCGAATGACAAGCAGGGGAAAATGCAAGACAAGGAACGTGTGGAGAGTGTTATGTATATTTTATTAGGAGCGCGAGCTTGGTGGCTTTTTTGAAGATATTAATAGTTACAGTCGTTTCCCTCGTTTCGAACACATTGAACCTCGCTTGCGAAGCGCGAATGTGCCTCCGATGCAGAATTTCGACGCTCGCTGAAGAGATTTCTTTTGAAGACCACCTGCAGAAACAAAAACAAAACAAAACAAAAAAAAAACTGAGGAGCAAACACTTATGCAAGTCGGAATGGTTAATTCATTGGCAGACACTTATGTCTACCTTATTGACAAACATTGTCTCAAAGTTAAATTTAGGTACTCATTCTTGGAAGGCTATCATGCATTCATCGACTCTGTGGGCATGTTAGAGCAGAAGGAAGATGCAAATTATGATGCGAGTTGTGTAAACGTCGCTTTTGCTAAGTTTCCACCCTTAACGTGGACAAAACCCCTGGGTTGTACAATGAAACTTCCTGCCCAAACCGGCTCTTGTCGTTTGAAACATACATGTACATAGAAAAAGGACGTTACTTTTGAAACATTGCAAGTCAAACTTTTAAACAGTTTTTGAACAGACGGGATCCTCAACGGTTTAAGGTAAGAACTGAAGTCTTTAAACATATCTCGTCGGCGTCTGAAGACACCTGGCGCAAATCTGGGGTATATTCGCTGAGGTAACACAATTTGTCTTCATACGTGAAACCATTATAAGCAAAAACATACGGATATAAATGGAACTAACGCTATATTCGGTACTTTCGCACTGTATTTTCCAGAATGTGATAAAAATTCAATGAAAATGCTACAACTAGACGAAATGTCATGCGGCTGTTAAAAATAGAAAGATGTCCCTACTTGACTTATTCCGAAGGTGATTCATTCAAGGAAATATTTAGACATGGTGTCTCAAACTGCACGAGAACGAATTTCGAAAACAGAAAAGACTGAAATACAGTTTTTGCAATAAATGTTCTCTTGAAAGGAAACACGAATGAGAGGATGATTTCAGGAAATTAAATATGCCATAACAATCAAAATTCCACATATTGCAACCATGAATTTAATTAATAGATTAAATTCTTCTTTGGTTAGAGCACGTCTGATGACGTCATATCTCAAGTTAATTCCCCACCATACGCAACGTTTTGGACTTCCTTGCACTTAATCGCAAAGATGAGACCTGCCATGATTATAGTTTAGTTTGTTCGAGATCTTAACACGCTCCTGGACGCAAGGTTGACTTTTTACCATCCGTTGACTGTGCCGTGAGACATTGAGGTTATTACAAGGTGCGCCAAAGTTCTTAGTTACCTTATCGGTTGTTCTTGTATTTTTCTGGAGTTAGGGCCATTTGCGTTTTTCTGGGATACAAAATATATTTCGACTATTCTGCTAATTGGAGAAGAATGCCGGATCAAAGTACCGCGAAAAATTTAACAACTAAATTATGGGCTGATGAGGTGATAGTTGATGAGGCCGAAGACCGAATGAACTATCACCTCATAGAAATAGAGAGCGAATGATTTGATTGTCTTAAATGATCTACATTTATCTTTTTTTCAAATAACGGTTTTCAAGTGTTTTTTAACTCGACTATACATCTCGCGCGAGATGTGTCAATTTCTAATTACAAAAAGCTTGCACTGAACTGTTCGCGCGCTCATCAGTAGTTTATTGAAAACTTTATAGGTTTTAAA